AAAAAAAATTTGTCGCGCCCTCCTCCCCCCGAAAAAAATTTCTGGGTACGCCACTGGTGGCTATACTTTATACCAACAATATTCTTACAATTCATGGAGCATTTCTAAATTCAATTTCAGATGAGCCAGACTGGGAATCCAAAATGCGAGATCTTAGCGGACAACTCAGCGCTATTCTCTTGCAGATCAAGAAAGCAAAGGAAACCCGAAATCTCAAGTACACAACGACACAGAAGCCAAAGCCAAAAGTGACAATTCTTCGGAACGTAAGTAAAAAGTAGGGCAGCTATACGGGTCACTGAGACAATTTGATGGAATGTAAATCATAATTTACAGATCTAAAATTCCTATTCTGTCTTTATTGTACTCTTTGAGAAGCTTCCAACACAATTAAGGCCTTGTTCATTTTGAAAAAACTGCCCGTGCCTTCCAGGGTTCCGCTAACCAAACCAATGACGGAAGATACAACTTTGTCGCAACTATAACCTTAGTCCAAGATAATGGAAAGAATATACTTGTGGATACTGGCTTAGGTACAGACATCAATGGTAGGACGCAGCTGATGGAAGGTAAGCACTACGGTAATTTCGATGATGAGCTCAGGCTCTAGAGAGTTCCAGAGTTGCCCGTGCGCAGGCACCTATGCCAGCGACGTGCTGGAACGCCATGTGGATTTGCTCCGTATGAATACTGACACGGCGCTAGCACGATGCTGGAACGTTGCAGGCATGGGCAGCTCTGAACCCAGCCATAAAAAGAAGTCCAAAATGCTGATCCGACAATTATAGCACTGGAAAAGCAAAATCTAGCTGCGCCAAGCATACATATTGTTGTTACGACACATGGCCATCCGGACCACGCTGGTGGAGTGCATGACTTCCCAGATGCAATCCATTATCAAGGATGGTATATCCACCATAGAACTATGTTCAACCTAAGCAACCTCTTTGAAGTGATTCATTTACGGCTTCATTTATAGTCTCTACACGATTGAGCGCTCTCAGAAATTGCCTTTACAGAATGAACGACATTCACTAACAGATAACGTCCACTTGATGAGATCAACAGGACATTCTTCGGACGATGTCGCGGTGGTAGTCTCTGACGAACAAACGATGGGAAAAGTGATAATTGCAGGTTTGTAGTTAAAGCTGTAGCTCGTTTATTTTATTTCTTACTCTTGAGGAACAAAAGCACATTCCAAAAAACCTTTACCCGAAGACTATAGAAATTCACAAAGGATGAGTATATTGGCAGTGGCGGCCCAGGATTGTCGTTCGAGCGGAGGGGGGAAGGGGGTGGGGGGAAG